TAACAGTCAAACAGAAGTACCTTGCTGGACGCATTGATATGACAAACTTGTGCATTCTGATAGTATAGTATTCATAGTAAATATCAGGAGGTTCTTGCAAGCTTACAACAGTTTAGGTGATTATTTCGACAAACTGGTCTCCTCATCACGGACTCCTTTCGAAATGCTCCTTGTAGAGCCGTTTGCATTGGTACCTTGCCTCAACCGTAACACCCCATTTGTCACAGGAACTATAAACACCAGGACCAATATGCTCATTACGGGTTTATGAATCATACGTCTGTGCGAGAAATTGTCTTTAACAGCAGCAACGTTTAAACATAATCCATTGAGGATCAAATCGTCATATCCAGCCAGTCAGCTGTCACCTTACCGTTGTGTTGATTTGCATCCAGAGCATTCATAACTTGTTGCTATTCGTCTTACTCTGATGCTCCTCAATTTGAAGCCTCCTTCCAATGTCGTTGTCCTAAGAATCTTGCTCATTCAGTGTTTTCATGTTTGTTCCCGGTTTGTTGTTATTTTAAATTCTGTCATAAGTAAACTAACGTATCCACCTTAGCTGAAATCGGGTATTTATTAGCTGACCAAATCGATTATGAGGAAGATCACATAAACCGAACCCAATCTAGTCCATTTGAATTCCTTCATTTATCATTTGAAACATTGTAAACTTCATTCCCACTCGTTACACGGAAAACTGTAGTTGGAGGCATTGGTAGATTTAGAAACACCATTTACCGCTGCTCAGTGGTTTGCCTTTTTCCATCAGTCCGTTCCGTTGTCTTCATGGCTGTCACATTCAAACAAGGGGTGAGTTGCTAACAGATTTATCGTTTTCCAAGATGATCGTTAATACCTGATGGCTAATACGAGGAAATAGGTCCGCTAAAACAGACGCCGCGGTCTGCGGTATATCAAACGGAACGTATTTAGGGAAGGTTTCCTGTTATGCATTTTGTCAGATGAGAGTATCTCATTTGTTTTGTCGTGTTTTTAACCAGTCTAATCTGTTTGTCTCCTGGTATCTTTGCGTCTTTGCTAAAATCTACTCAGCTCCTGTTCTGTGTTTCCTGCGCGGAGCCCTATCATTTCTACTGTGTTGAACGTCAATTTCGTCCCCGTCGAAAAGATCACTTCATTTGTAGAAATTGCACGGAATGCGGTCATTGTCACAAACCCGCAGCAGATTTACGTTGTCTCCGCTGTTTCACCGGCTTTCATCCATCGTGTTTACCGAAATATCCGCCTGCTCATTCAGGACAACGTGGCAACTGGGTTAGTGCGGGTTTCCAGTGCCAATCTCTGACTCGTGCTTTTCCTTTTTTGATTTACCGTTTATGCTTGGAATTGCATTTTTTACATTGTATTCCTATTACTTTGGAGTGGTGTGACAAAATCCGAGCAACCATATTCATGTATGTCGACACATTGAACACGAATTTTCCTCTCCTCCCTATTTGATCTTTTCATGTCATTCTAATCAATTATTTGCTAGTATAACTTTAGAAGTTTCTCATGAAGGTAAACCGGTCTTGATCCGTCATCTGAATCGTGTAAACTTTCATTGGCAAATGAAGCTAGAGGAACGATATGAAAAATAGTACACAACCATGTATGCAAAGCCCCAATGGGTCCGCTAATAGAGACAGAGTGTTCTACCCATTCACTCGACTGGATTCTCGTACTTTACGGTTTTCCTTCCATCTGATGACCTGATAATTATGTTTACTAAAGCCAATGCTTGGGTGATAATATAATTAGATGAACTCACTAGTTTATTTTCTACTTTTCTGCAAGTGAGCGACTTTATTCTGAGTTCCCGAAAGCCAATATCTTAGTCGTACAAGACTCAAAACTGACACTGCTCAATGAGTTTGAATTCGAATTCGTTCCATTCATTCGTCTCCATTCCCATACCTGAAATCAGTTACCATCTGATCGTAATGTTTGAACACTTCCCTGTCGTAAACTGTGAACGGGAAAAGACCCTACACTGGAAATTTAATCCGTAGTCATTCACCTCGAAATGATCTAATACGTTTTTCTTTGACTGTTTTCTACCGTCTTCGATGCACGAAAATCCCTGAAACCGTCTCGCGTTTCACGGTGGAGTGCGAGTGTGAAATGATGTGCGCTTGACAAGCGAGAATTCAAAATAGTAACCTACGCCAGAATCATCAACAAACCGTTATGGTATTACACTGCTCTCCTTGGAGCACCATCCTCTAAAGAAGCGATCACCTCTTCTAGGCGAACACAACGATCGAGTTCTAGATCCTTTTTATCACTAGGGCCCTCCATTAACGGACACCTTCAAATTATATGAGTTCGCATCAACAGAAAACGCTAATTTGTACTTTGCCAGCATGTGAGCCCATATTTTGTCAGGAAATTACTGCAAGCCATCGTAGTCTAATATCTGTATCGTCCAACGAAATCCATGGATTTGAAGAGAAATAGGTTTGAACTAGAAATGGATTGACCACTTATCGTTTTCGTTTTTTGCAGGATATTGAAATTTGTTTATGCAGGAGAAAAGTTACACATGGACACTTTCGTTTGAAGAGGTTATGAAATCTGTAATTCAATTGTTCTCTCCCTCTGTCATATATTTTCTCCGTTGAAAACCTAATGTAGACTTGTCCTAATTGTGCTACTTGTGTACATTGCGGAACTAAACCATTCAAACCGGCCGAACCGGGTGATCCGTATCGTTCGTTGATCTCGACTACAACAATGGTTAACGCATCCGCGGACGGGGTTGGATCATCTAACCGAGTGAGCGTGATCCCTTGGTCCTCGGATGTGAACAAATGCGCAGCATGTAGCCTGGCTGAAACACGAGGAGATGTTTGTCCCGAATGTGATCGAGCTTATTTACCCTCTGCGAAACAAATGATCCAGTGTGACAGTTGTCAGTTGTGGATGCATCGAACTTGCACAAAGCTGACGGGTAAGTTTAGGAGTTTCTATCTATTTCATTACAACCATGTTCAAGGATATCTGATCGATTCCTTCAACATTTTGAAAAAAATGTATGAAAAAATGCTGTTGCAACTGTACATACAATTCATCATATACGTCCAGGTTTGTAAGCCGTTGGTTGAAGTAGCAATTTCCTATTATTTATTCTCTGGTAAACCTTGTAAATTTCCAGGTCGCAGCTATCCAATTGTTGCCTCAGCCTTGCCGTCAGTGCATTCGACTAGCTGTCTACTATGCCCAACAGTGGGGATAATATGCTCACATCCAGCCTCAGTTCGGATTTCTTATTCAAATTGCCATTGGGAAGCGGCACATGTTTGTTTGTAATTATTGATAATAATAATAACTGTATATCGCTGATGTAACCCTATAAACTACATTTTTTGTCACTTGGCTGACTTCAGTGATACCAAGTGGTTGATTTAAAAAAATAAGTACTTATAATATCAGCTCTCAAAAAAATCCTCAAATACTTGTGCGTACGTAGCTCACAGAGGTCTAGTCATTATAGGTATCACGATCGCCGTGCACATCGCCGCGGTCCGTAGTGTTCTGCTTTCAGGCTGCGAGACCTGGCCTCCCCGAGCGGAGGATGTTAATCGACCTTCCGTATTCGACCACCGATGCCTTAGAAAACATTGCTCGTGTCTGGTGGGAACATCGGGTAAGCAATGACAAAATTCATGGTCATGTACTGGGTACTGATAGTTGTTCTCTAACGGAAGAAATTGTTCTATACCGTCTCCGAATGCTCAGTCATGTTTTGCGTATGCCTGTCCATCGACTACCTCGCCGTGCTCTCTTTGCACGTGTCGGGCAAGGTTAGAAGAAGCTTCACGGCGATCAAACCATGACGTGGCGTCGAGACATGAAGAAGCTGGCTTCAGCATAGGCTTCGGTTGGTGCAGCCCGCCTTCCAGGCTGGGTCCCAAAGGATGAGGATTGCCGATGGCTATAGACGCTGCGAGATATGACTCAGAATAGATGTGAGTGGCGCGATTGCTGTGCGGTTTGTTTGGCGAAACCCCGTTATCCATAACACAAAAACGAAGAAACTACGGAAAAATTCCTTTATTTATACATTCGTTCTCCATATTCTCTGTTTTCCCAATTTTCATTTAATCTTTCTGTACCCCTTCATAACTTCATTATGATTGTTTTCTATTGGAACCATGCTTATTCTCAAACCGGTGTAAAATATATATAGTATATATATATCACGATCGCCACCTTAGCCTATTTTGAACTTTTGTGAGATTAAGTTAACGTCGATAAGGAACTGTTTAATGCGTCTGGGTCAATGTGTTTCTGCTATCACAGTTAGGTTGTAGCAGTAGAATAATTGCATTGATAGGTCAGAATGCCTTATGCAGATCTCACATTGACCGCAAAGCTGATGTAATATTAGCATCTAATTCGTACTGCCTCGTCATCTTTGTTCCATCGGTTTCGTGCAAAGCCTTGATCACACAAAGTGCTTTGAATGTCATGATGATCGTAACCAAATTGCTTCTCAGTTCTTCCCTAAATGTTCCTGGTCTGTATGTGGTGTGACTATTACCTTCTCTTTTTTTTAACGATGGCACATTTAGTGGATGAATACGAATGGATCGCTCGATTACCACCAGGTCGTCTCAATAAGTTTGTTGTCAACTGCTCCGTTTGTCAAAACGAGAAGAAACAGCAACAGAATCATCAGTCTGAGCAGGTTGTTGCCGATGCATTGGGTCCTTGCGAATCTGGTGAACAATCGGTGAGCTCCGCAAATCCTCTTACTGTTGATGTTGCCGATTCGGAACCTGGAGTGAGCGGGGCAAGCCTTTTGCGATCCATGGCCCGAGACACGCTAATGGAACGAATGGCCGGTTTGGTGACCAACTGTCGCCAATCCGCTGGATCGTCTGATTCAACTCTACCTTCTCCATCCCTTCCAGTTGCAAACCTAATAACAGGTGCTAACGATAGTAATGTAACCATGACTCAAGCTTCTACTTCCCCTCGCTGCAGCCAGGGATCCGCTTCACCAGTGGGCGGCCAGGACAATGACTATGATAATTGTGATTATAGTACTACCAAGCGAATCCCACAGGTCAGTTCGTTATTAAAAAAAGAATCTTCAATGCTACTTAAAACATCAACGGTGAAGAGATTTTCTTCTGCCTTGTCTTTGGTCCTACAGCTGTTGAATGTGTACGTCCCCCAAGTGAAAAGCGAAGAATAGGTTCACCTATAGTTACGTCATATGTTTAACCAATTGAATGTATATGACGAATCAGAATCCCTTGGAGTTTATAATTTTCTAAAAGGGCAATGCACAATGAAGAGGTAAAAGAAGCATACTACGAATAGGAATGTGCCTAACAGTCCTGCTGCAGTATCAGACCGTGTTTAATTACCCGAGGCTACCCAGTTATTCCTTGATTATAATCGAACGGAGAGCAGTGCTAGCTTAGTGATGCATTGTGTAGGTGTTCACTGCGGTCACTGGAGATATTTGTGTTTGAGACGCTTGACCGTTCAGCGTAGTGAGAGTGATGTTGGACTGTCGGAAGCAAGAAACTAACCGGCTTTTTGTCCACTCCTGGGTTCAGGAACCGGGTTGATCTATGGAGTTGTTCTACTGGCGACGTAATCACTATCCGTTGATAGGTCATTTTGATCAGTTATAGCCAAGTCATGAAAATGTTTCAGGTATACCTCCATCAACATGATAGTTTTTAAAATGAAAATAGGTCTCATCACCGTCTCATAATTTCACTAAATTTACAAAATGTAACGATTTCCCTCTGTAGCTCGATGGTACGGGCGATATAGACTCCGGTGAAGATGAAACTGCTTTTCAGAAACGTACACCATCATCGTTGTCCAAACTATACGTACCTCGTGGGCGCAACTATAGTGTTAATCCGCCAATTTCTCGCGCATCAGACGCCCTATTGGATGAACATACTGAATCGAGAGGAGATTCACTGTCCAACGCATCATTGGCCCCTAGGCGACTAGTTCACTCGGGTGCCAATACCCATAGCACCAGCGGGTCTGGATCGTGGAACACTCGTCCTGTCGCCATCTGTAGTTCGCAGGATTATTCAATCGGTTCGCGTACGGTACATCGTCCGAGATACCACGAACACGACTTTTTCCCTCGCATTGGCAGTGCCGATCCGGACAGGTTGAATAACTATCCTGGTCTACGTTTCACCAAGGCTACGGAAGATGAAAAATCAGCTAATCGATGTGCTCCTATTCCGCCCACTAGTGCTGCCTGGCTTGTTGAAGATGAATCTGAACGCATTTGGACCACTCCGGTAAGGCATTCACACTCAAACACTTCTTCACATTTCAATAAATTTTTGAGGTGATTATGTCAGTCTCTTTTCGATCAATCCTATTGCTAAAAACTCTGATCACTCCTAGTGGTCGAGGCCGCGGAGTAGAATGTATAACTGGACCGGATTTGGTCAAATTTTGCAACAAGTAATACTTATTTCTGATGATTTCTCCAACAATTCAATGATCGAAGTATTAGTATCCTGTGGGCACAACAATCTAGTTCAAAGAAACAAATTAATAGAAATTTCCTCCCACTCTGCGTTCCTGTCGTTCGTTTATAAAGATCAAACTCCGCTGTCGTTCGAATGCTGTGCTATTCTTCGATGTAGTCCTGTTTTTAGCTTTATATATATANTGTATTTCAAGGTAGAATGGAAGCGTGCACTGAGTTTATTAATTTTTGTTGTAACTCTTCGAATCAAAATGGGACTCGTCAGACATTACATTTTTATGTTTTCACACACGTCTGAATCCAGATTGTGCCAATGAATCACGGTTCTGCAATCTATTTAATAATGATCCAGGACTTCTTCATAAACGAAATACTGCAGAGTTGCCCAGGCCGAAG